AGACTATTGGTACCCCTTGGGGCCCAAACCCAATTCCCAACCTTACACTATATAAACCACATCAAAGTTTCATAACTTTCCTATGTGGGACAAGTGTGTGGGAATTTTCCAATAAATCAAATTCGTCACTAGTTCATAGTTTCAAGTGGGTTACTTTAACATTAAATATTTCATTCAATACTAAATGGTTTTCGACAAATAAATATATCATGTTGATCCTCTTACGGAGTAGAACATGAATATGCTAGGTCCCGTTGAAATTAAGGCACGGGTCCCAATGAAATTTGGGCTCAAAGTTGACCCATTTCGCTAGTAGTAAAACCATTTTCCAACAGTTATATATTATGCATGTTCTTAATGTTTGGAACAGCTTAGAAGTGCTTCATAGTTGTAATATAACTTGTACTCTGTCAGAGTTTGTGCAGATAACTTGTTAATTAGCTCTTCTGATTATTTCCATGTTTCTGCTTTTCCATTTTAGTTAAAAACTAACTTGATGATCATGTTAAAGATGTGCAGACATTCAGACAAGGAAGCAGAAGGCCATTATATAATAACTTCACCTCATAGGAGGTCGCAGACACAGATTGCTCTCTCTCCCGGAGTGATGAATTAGGAAGATATTCAACCCTTCTTCAGCGAAACCGATTTATTCTCCTTGCATTTCTCTGCACAGTACATTTGTGCTTTGCTGTCACTCTGGGGCCTCGTGATTCATGCTCTGAAATGACCAGGGTGCAAAAAGCATATAGTGTCATTTGCAGCAAGGCATCTTCTACCAAGGGAAAACTAAGGCCATCTAATGACAACGCCAAAACACCAAATTTCACCAAAATTTGGTGCAAAAGTACTCTAATCTGGCACCAAATTTTGTCCAATTTGCCCTATTTTTTCATTTGTCAAAACAATTGTTTGAAGGTATTTGTATCATTTGTGTTATATAATTTTTAATTCTATTATTATTATTATTTGCAATTAAAATAAATTTTAAATATTAAAAATAATATTTACTGAATTAATTAAAATAAGAATAAAAAAATTTTAAATCTAACAAACACAATTATTTATAGTTAACACGAAATATAGTACAACCACATACGGCATACCTACATTAATCTAGTTTTATTTAAAGAAAACGATACATAAAAATAAGTGCATAGTTCGGTAATCTGGAAGATTGCTTCCAGATCCTCGAATATCTTCAAAATAATTTCCAAACAAATCAGATGAACTTTCAGATCCTTTATCTTGTTGTTGAGCTCTCTTTCGTAAAATTCTTGTTTGTTCGTTTTGAAAGAACAAACGTAAGTTTGAATCTGTTATCGAACTCAAATCTTTCAACAAAATTTTGTTCTCTTCACAATATTTTGTCATTACCAATTTCTTTTTTTGAATTTCGTAATTCTGATGCCTTTTCTCATTACTTTTTTTTCAGAATTTCGACGAGTTGTTGATTCTCTTTAATGGATGTAAGTAATTTTATACCTTCTTCTTCATTTTTCCTTTTTAGTTTTGCTTTTTTTTACCCCCTATAGATCATTTAGTAGAAGTATCATCAACATTGTCTTCGTTTATATTAAGAGAAAATGAAAACAATCCACGGGATGTTGAATGCATTGAGGTACGGACCTCCGATGATGAAACTAGTTGTGACGATGCAATGTTAACACCGCTTTGAAGTGATTCTACTAATTGTATTATGTTTTAATAATATATTTATTAATGAATTTAATATTTTCCTTAATTTAACGTAATTATGTATTTAGTAATTTATGTATTTCTAAAATAAATAAATAATATTTCGAATAAATAAATTACTAAGAAGAAAAAAAGAAAAGAAAATTATTAAACACTGTTCATTTGGTGCGTTGGATATGAATTTTAGTTTGGTGCAAATTATGGTGCAGCGTTGGAGATGGCCTAAAAGTCTTTAGTCTATAATGTTTGGAGGTTAGATCTCGAGGAGGACAATATCAATGGATTAGTCTTTTTCAAATATTTATTCAAGACAACTGAAGGAAGAAGTGAAGTGAAAGTTGAGATAATGTTGAGAAGAGGGTGAACGCTTATCAAATTTATAAATTTTTCTTGTGCATCCTGAACATCTTTTATTCTCTTGTCTAACTCGTTAAATTCTCCCGTCCTTCCCAACCGACTCACCCAAATCCTAGACGTGACCGAGTCCAATCATATGATAACAACGTTATCAAGAATTAACTAGCATGTCAGTTATAATAAATGTAATGATTTCGTATTAAAAGTTATAACCGAAAAATTTGTTTGTCTACAGACTATACTCCCATTTTGTGAGGGTCCCTTCTAGTTGATGTGTCATAAAGGCTTTTTATATAAACCCAACAATGGACCCCCCGGGGGGGCACCCCCATTCCCACAAAAAGTATGTGTATGTGTGGGGGTGTGTCTATTGTTTCATTTATTCTTATAATTGATCTGTATAATCTATTCTTTTCTTATCAAACAAATATTAGCCACAAACAGACACTAGTGAATGGCATGTAAGAAAGTAAATCTACCAATTATTATTATTATTATTTTTTTTAATAACCGTGAATGTCCGTGTCAACTTGCGCTCACCTCGATTAATTCCACGGGGCCCTGAAGTTTACGCCGAATACTCACCTCGGTGGCTTTGAGGGAATTCAAACTAGTGACCATTGGGGAGCAATAATGAAAGATTAAATTACAGACGAAAAAAATAACCAAAGATTCAGTATGAAGAAAGCCCTTAATTACATGATAATTAGATAAACGAATGTCTATATTAATTCCAACTCTATCTACATAATAATGAAGCACGGTATTTCAAAAAGGGGTAATAAAAGGTAAAGTTTCTTGACAAAAACATGTCTTAGTTGTCATGTCAAATAGCTTAATGTGGGTTATCAAGTATATATCCGCCATTGCTGCTCAATTTTGTATTCACAATAGAAAGCTCGTGTAAAACTCCTGGATTGTTTTATCATGCTTAGCTAATTAAGCATCAAGCTCACTTTGGAATATTTGTGATGCAAATGATGAATTCAAGTCACCAAAGATAATGTCATGTTCCTCAGCAAAGCTGCTTGATTCTTGGAATTCAAATGATGTTTGTATGTCATCTGGGAAAGTTCGTCGTGGAGCATCTGGTTCCAAAGGGCTAGAAGGGTGGTTGTCTTGTGCTGTTGTTTGTTCCAACATTTCTTTGAACTTGGAGGATTGTAGCAAAATCCCTAGTGCAGATGAAGTAGAGGCTCCACTACCTGGCCGCAGATGAGGGTCGGCTATTTCGGCCGAGCTTGAGCTCTGTGTTAAGAGGTGAAGGAAGCCAAACCCTAACTCTGGATTAGGGTTTGACATTGGATTAGGGTTTGGTTGAGGATACTCGGTGTTATTTTCGTTAGGTCGTAGCGACTTGATGTAACGACTCAAGTCAAAGTTTGTAACGGCGTTTAGTCCACGATACTCTATTGCAGCCATGTCATAGGCTGTTGCTGCTTCTTCTTGTGTGGCTGCAATGCAATAACCAAAAAAGACAAAAAAAGTTAAGGGTAATTTTGACATACATACCTATATATACATAATACACACATGTATATGTATATAGTTGTTATAAACAATAAATTCAAGAATTCAATATGCAGGCAAAATTTGGTGGGGAGGGGTTGAAATTATGTCATGGGGTTTGAAAATTAAGTCGTAGTAATTAACAACCCTAGCAGTTGAGAGTTGGTGATCTATATATGAACCACCATCCAACCATATTTGTTTGCTTGGCCTTGTTTGACCATTTGCCAATATATGCTTTGAGACGAAGTTTAACTAGAATGCTCATGTTTGCAATATAAGTGTCAATAAAGTCCCCGTTTGGTGGCTTTTTTTTTTCGAAAAAGCATTTTTTTTTGAAATAATGATTTTTTTTAGGAATGTGCGATAAAAAAATAAGATTTTTTTTTATTTTACTTGTAAAATATTTTATTGTGTGAATGTGTGGTGAAAACGAGTATATAGAAAAAAAAAAAGAATTTTCAAATAATGGGAGACAAACAACGGCTAAGTGATTGAACATCTTAATTATGACACTTATCCCTACATTTTGTCAAATCACTTAATATGTTTATTGACACCAAGATTGCTGACAATTAGCATAACTCTTTACTATAAGCTAGTATTAGCCCTCGGTTTGGCCCCCATTATTTCTCGTTAAATTATAATTCATTTCTCCCTCTTTTCTTATCAATTACACATTTTTAGATAAAATAATATTACAAGTAAATTTAAAAAAAATTCATTCATTTCTAACCACACATTCTCCAAAAAATTATTATTCCTCTCATTATAACGTGGAATAATGGGGGCCAAATGGGCTCTTAGTATATCTAGAAAGGGTAAGGAAACAATAAAACAGCAACAAGCATGAAAAAAATCGAAAAATGACTATGCAAATTCTCGTATATACGCATACATACCATATGTTCCGAGGTAAAGATATTTGTTTCCAAACACCCTGCCTATTCGAGCCTCCCATCTTCCGTTATGATGGTGTCTGTGCATCAAATTACAACACGGGTTCAGAACACTAAAATCTTGAATACATACTAATGCTCGACCTAAATAACTCGATTGGATTAATACAAAGATTCGTGTGACGAAATTTCAGTTATTGTATTCAATGAAACATTTTTTTGAATATATACTATTATGAACGGCACTGAAATTTGTCATATATCATGTACATCTTGTATATCAAACATCTCCTATAATAACCTTCTTTATGGAGGAATAGAAAGGAAATCCCCTTTTTTTACCTTGCGACGCCTCTATATTTTGACACTCCCCGAGAAAATCCACTGCTTTTCCTACAAGTTATATATGATAAAATAAAATCATAATTTCAAAAAAAAATATTGATAAATAAAACAAATAATGTAAATATCCATATACCTTCTTAAAGAACCAATATACTCTTCTTTCGATAGGCCTTCCATTTCCTTAAGCTCAATTTGGTATGTTGAAAGCTACATAATTAACAAAAAAAGGTTAAAATTTTGTCTTCGGTGTGATCTAGTTTCGTTCGGTATTATGTGCCAAATAACATATATGTAAATTTACAAAGAAAAGAAATTAATTTACAGGAAAATTCAATATGGTATCTTGTCCCCAATACTTCAGTGCTGCCAAATCATAAGCATGTGCAGCTGCTTCTTCATCATCGTAGGCCCCTAAAAATACAAAAATTGGAAAAAAAAAATAATAAATAAAAGTTGTAAACAGCTCAAAAGCATTTTATAGCATTCTTAAAATCAAAGAGTCGGGAACGGATTTTCAACTCGTCCCCTCAGGAGCCATGTTCTTTTTTTCTTTTCTTTTCTTTTAAAAAAAAAAAAAAAAGATAGTGTAGTTAAGATAGCGAACCTACCCAGATAAACTGCATTTTTGTAGGTTCCACCACAACCACCATTGACAATTTGACATAGAAAGAAGAATAATTAGTAATGCAAAAGATTTAGCAAGAAAAAAAAATTATAAGTAAAAAAGCAAAAATGAATATAATAATAAGTCAGAAATTAATTAACCTTGTCTTCCTTTCTTATTTTGAGACTCGTTCCAGCAATTCTTATCCCACAAATGAGCTTCATAACGACCAGTCCACCGGTGCCTGAAATGAGATATCATCCGTTAACCTATACGGATTTGGACTATTCTTTCTTCTAAATAATATTTCAAAACCGTGACGGGATCACAGGTGGGGAAAATGATCAAAGAATCAAGAAGACAAAAGTTTTTTTTTTTTTACCTTGTGACGCCACGATAAATCGAACTGCGTTGCTGCGGAGACTCTCTCGGGACGCTTTTTCGTGTCCTCTTCGTCTTCCCAATCGCATCATTCTTATCAGTACTACTGCTACTGGTTGAGCTGTTCTTCTGGTTTTTCTTTGAAGTTTTGGCCATGAAACTTCACTGATCAACACTTCCAAATGCAGACTTTAAAAGTAAATTGTAAATAATGGGTTTGTTTATAGAAGAAAGATTGAGCCCTCAACCTCAATCCAATAAGAATATAAAAACGGTGAAGGGAGTGGCGGAGGAGAGCCGGCTGAGGTTTTGTGGGTTTTTGGTGGCCGTCTTGAAACGGCTTTATTTTCGAGTATCGTTATAGCTTGTCCCTACTTGATTTTGTGTTATGTGTTGTTTCACTTGTATTGGTATTTATAATTGTTTATAGTCAATCATCACTATCTACTCTAATCAATTTTAACTCCCATCTGCATTTTTCTTCTTTTTAATTCTCTCTCTTGCCGTGTTTCATACATTGAATTTGATTGTATTAATTAGTTCAACCGAATTTTTTATTTTTTAAAAAAGTAAAAATTTCATCCGGTACTCATTCAAATTCAACTGGTTATGATTTTTAAATGAGAACCAGAGCTATAGAGTCAAATTTTTATTGGGGTCATGATTCCTTTTTAATATAAATTAAGTTACATCATTTAGTGATTTTTTAACCAAAAATTATTGTTGACTAGTCTTTTAAGTTTTAACCAAATCTCTCATAATATTTGACTTGCAATCGACATAACAGAGCATGATTGGACAATTTATCTTAAGGGTAAATAAAAAAAAAAGTCCCTACATTTCAATGTCATTGTGCAAAACGTCCCCCTACCTTTCATTTTTTGGTATTTTCATCCCTACCTTCCATCTTTCATTGCACAAAATGTCATTTTCAACCATTTTTCAATAAAAGACGATTTTACCCTACTATTCAAATAAAACAAAAAGAAAAAAAATAAACGACTAATTGCAATCATAGTCCTAAATTTTTCTAAATATTAAAGATAAGTCATAGATTCTCCAACACCACCGCTTTGACAATCCCACCAAACCTCCACCTACAGATCCACATAGGGCCACCACGCTCGTCGGACTCCGCTACCACTAACATCGCTTCACTCTCCCCAACATCCTCTCTCACAGTATTGGCCACAAAATCTGTCAAAAACAATCACATTTGCAGCCTAAAATACCAAATTGTCGTATACAACCCCATTTTCGACGTCATCCACGGTCGCGCACCACCACCACCGATGGTTACCCCTCACCTCGACGAACCTATACATGGCCTCCTATCAATCAAACATGCCTCAAATCATTCTACTGTAATCTAGACATTCGACAGTGACGATGTCCATTTTGCCAATCTCTTCTCTTTCAATTCATGCATCCCACAACACTAAATCTCCGAATTAGCATCAATCGAACCATGAATAAACTCAAACGACAATGGGTATGAATCTAATTGAACCAATTATC